ACAAACACGCAGCGGCACCGAGCAGGCCTTAACTCACACACCCAGGCATGCAGACATGAAGTTTACTTTTTTTTTTTAAATCAAAGCCTATAGGGCAAAACAGGAAGTAAATAGATTCAAACGTTGCTACGAATTAAAAAAAAAAAAAACTGAAGTTATTTAGCAAAAAGGTTGATGGTTTGTTTCCCAAGGCGTGTGATGGATTGTCGTGAATCTTGGGGATATGTTATCCTCCGGCCTTAGGTGAGGGTGAGAATGTGTGAGGTCACACCGTGTGACCTTTAGCTGAGGCCTCTGGGCCACCATTGGTCCAGAGCCAAACACTCAAGCACCCCCCACCACCACCCACCAGACAGCACAGCCCTCTCTGCTGCTGGATGTGCAGGCCAAAGTGAAGAAACTGAGTGTGAGTGCAATCCTACTGTCTTACTGCAAACTACACACACACACACACACACACYCAAACACAAACGTGAAAGTACGAGCTGACACAAACGCCTTTCTACATTTCTAGACAACTCTGCCCATCTGAACATCGCCGGCCCTGTGGAGCCCCGCTGTGTTGCTTCATCGCCTCCATCAAAACATAAACTATTGATCAGAACCAGCTCTGAAACATCCAGCATTTGTTTGTTATTTTAACCCATAAACTCCCACGTGTTCTTCCAACACAACACGGCAGCTCTGAAAGATGCTCCAAAACATAAAAAAATGTTCCAAAAGAGTGATCGCTATTAAAAACGTTCTCACCCATTTTGTGAGMAAATGTGTGTTAATTTGACCCTGACTTGTTTTTGTAATTCCCTAATGAGAGAATGTGCGTACATGCATTTCTAAAAATAAAAATTAAAAAAAAAATCACGTTTTCTTGTTGCCTCACAACCAAAAGCTCATCATGTTTTCTTCCCAACCCACCACCACTGCATGAATATTTATCAATTGTTAATTATTTAGACTGGAGGTGTAAAGATGCATGTTTGGATGTTTGCACTTGCTGCCTTTTTATTTAATTTCTCCTTGGAGTGGAGGAGCTTTCCACAGGAGTATTTCTTTTAATCAGCAGGCAGAACAAATCTGAAATCAAGATGTACCAGAGGTGCAAAAAAAAGGGTGGGGGGATGAATTTGCATTAAACTGAAACTGAAAATACATTTTTTTTATTGGAGCGCCACCTCCATGCTAATAAATTATATGACATGTATTGTAATGTTATTAGTATTTGCTTTGATGGATGGAAAACATGTCCTATTAGAGTGTTGGATGCAGAAATAACTCTGCAGTGGCTGAAAATAGTGAGGTAATTTCAGATGAAACATGCTGAATACATATTAGTGTAAACTTTCAAACAGACGAACCTATTCAACAATTGTGCAAAAAAAAACAAACAAAACAAACAAAAAAAAAAAAAAAAAAACAATCCAAACAAAATTGTTTTAGAGGAAAAATTCTAATTGTTAAAAAGTGGAGGCCTGTTCACCTTTAAATTCTGAAGGTTATTTACATTCATTAGAAGCTGGTTCTTACCTTTTTATTAGTGGAAGAGGAGACTCAAAACACGTCTTCAGTGATGAGCGCGCGAGCCAAATGAACAGTTTCCTGCTGCCTCCTTAGGTCACCCCTCTTGTGTTCTCATGTCGATCGRGTCGATGTGTATTGAGGCTGCAGACTTGTGTATTCACCCGGATTTATCCACCCCCCCACCCCCCACCCTGCCAGCTACTGATTCCTCCGTGTCACCAGCTCCATCAAGGATGTGACGCCTCGTGCAGCTTCTTGGATCTGGATGAGGAGGGAGCCGCTGCGGATGCTTCCCTTTGTTTATTTCAAAGTTTTATTTAGAAATAAAAAATAAAAAAATAAATAAACCGGGATTTCGTTCCGCTGATATTAAAAGCCCATGAGAGGCGGCCTAAGGCGAGGATGACGTCATTAAAAAAATCAGGTCAAATCACTCGAATAGTCTAAATAATTTGGCTCTTTTATGTTATTTTATGCAACGATAAGTTATTGGTAAGTGATTTTATCTTGCGCAAACCGAAACGTGCACGTATCAAAGCTGTATTATTACTTTRCTTTCTTTTTTTTCTTCTTWAATAAAGACTCGTGGTGTTTCTCCCAGCGCGTCTCCGCTCTGCCTGCAGCCGTGAAAGTTGCACTCGCCCCCCGCGCCTTTTGCATGCAGCTCCCGCCGCCCCCCACCCCGCCTTACCTTTTTAGAAATCCGCTTGTTTGCTTAAGCTTGCAGATCATAGTTTGTTTGTCTTTGACGAACTGTTAAAAGCATGACCAAATAATACAAATAAAAGGGGGGTAAAAAAAACAATGTTAAAAAACAGATTTACGCACAGATTTACGCACAAGTGAAGCAAAAATGAAAAGATAACTTCTTAAAGGCGTGTCCGTTTGTGTTTGGATGAATTTTAAAAGTTATTTAAACACTCAGACAACTGCTCTGCGATCAATCCAGAGCGGGGAGGGGGGTAAAGAAAGAAAGAAAAAACTTAATGGACTGTTTTTGTTGCCCGGACCACCACCTCCTTTTTGTTGATTCCCGTGTTATTTCAAGCCCCGCTGACCAGCCGAAGCTCAGACATGTATTCAGCAGCTAATCTGACGGAGCATCTCGGTGCCATGTGTATTCCAGCGGCCCCCATTGTTTTCCTCTATAGATTATCCTCACAGAATCCAAGCCTATAGACAGACTGTCATTGTTTTGCACTCCACTAACGCACTCCTTGAGCAAAGGTTCAATAAAAGTCCCCCAGCTGAACGGTTTTGAACAATATATTTACTTCCATTAAATAAAACACAATATTTTTTAGCGATGTTGCAATAAAAGAAAAAAAAGGGGGGAAATCTGTACCAAATACACAGAGAAAAAAAACAAATAATTTGTCGCAGGAGCTTTTTTATGCTTCTTATTGTAATTTTTTTTTAATCCAGGATTGCTATTCTAAATCCATATCCACACAGACAATAATAATAAATTTATAATATGTCAGAAACACACAACTGGTGCGTTTAAATATGTACATTCCTTTTTTTTTTTTTACTTTTTTTTTTGCAAGCAAAAACATGATTCCTTTTAGGGTTGCTTCTTTTTTTTCCCACATGCGTTGAGAACTCGAAAGAAAGAGAGGAAAAAAATAAAAAGACTGGAGGGTTAAAGCGCCTCATTAAACAGGAGATGATCATTCATATATACAAAACTTTTTTTTTTCAGTCAAAACGTCCACGTCCAAAAATCCACCCGAAAAGACGCTCGTGACGATCGCTTTAAAAGTAAAACAGGCCCCCCTTCTTTTTTAAAGTTTGACGCAGGCCAGTGCTCATGAAGATGGATTAATTTAAAAATAAAATCAAAACTCCCYTTTCAGTTTGACTCCGAGCAGGAGTTTGAGTTTGTTTCAGTGGTTCAGTCTTCTAGTGCTCCCTTTAAAAAAGAAAACATGACAAAATTAGCTGTAGTAGTCTCTTGTTCCTGTGGACGGCTGTTTTTAATTATCGCACACTGCAAAAAATAACCACCATAGCCAAGACATTTCAAAATGACAACCATGTTCAACCTTTTGAAAAATGAATGAAAATTGACGTGCCAGATGTAGCCTATGCAAACGGATATTATTAGATATTTTTTATTATAATTTGGAATATTTGTGGCACAAAAGTCTTGAGGAGAAATCTGAATATGGCGATCCAAGCTGTGTCAAGATATTGCCAGAAATTTTTGTCCTACAAACAAAACTCCACCACCTGCTTCTTTCCAACTCTCCTCAGAGGTCACCCAGTTAGCATCTTGCCACGGCGGATATTTTTTGCAGTGCGCAGCCATTAGACGGGTCTGTCCACCGCGTACTGGCACGCGCTCAGGTTGGTGGCTGGGTTCTGCACGCCGGCGTATCCAAAACTCGAGTGCTGCTTGGCTTTCAATCTCAGGCTGGCCAGGCTGGAGTTGCAAGTGTCTCTGTACACGTAGGGGGGCGTCGGAGGCGCGTAGGGGCACGCCGGCGTGGGCACGCCGGAGTTGAGGGAAGGGTTACTGAGGTTGTTCAAGTTATTGAGGCTGTTGAGGCTGGAGCCCGGCACGCCSGTCACCGCCGAGGGCACCATGCTGGAAGTCATGGAGGAGATGGAGTTGGGCGGTGAGAACATGGTCTGCGAGGACAGAGGGTTGACGTTCATGGAGTTGAAGAAGGGGAAGCTTTTGGTGGACAGGGAGGCGGACGTGAGGCCCTTGGCGGCCCAGTTGTTGTACGTGTAGCTCGGGTACATGTCGTCGTAGGGCTGCATGAGTCCGTTGAACTGCGGGCCGAAGCCGTTTTTGCAAAGCTCGGCTTGCTGGTTCCTCTCCCGTTTCCTCCACTTGGCTCGCCGGTTCTTGAACCAAACCTGGAGCCGAACAAAATTAGACGTTTAGATAATATATTTTGTCCTCTTTTTATACACAAATGTCATCATTTAGGCGCCATATATCTAAAAATCTAACAGCAAAATAAGAATGATTGAGCCATCTATCTTCCTCCTTTTTTCCRCACTGAGCAGACAATTCCTGTTTAATCCCGGCTCTATCAGAGCAGAATACACATTGCAGTCTCAGAGGAGCCTCTTAACGTGGAGAGGATGTGTATTCCTCCGCGTGCTTCCACAAACACCCTGACCTTAATCACACAACGTCAGGGCGACAATAGCAAAATACAAGCTTTGCACCTCTTTTACACCAACACAAGAACACGACTGGTATCTGTCACCGACTCATGTCCGCAGCCTCACTGTTAACGTCATCAGAGTTTTATTACACTTAATAGAATATGAATAATRACGCATGCGCTTTTATATATTTTTGCGCTGTTTTTAAAAAAGGTTAACTTAGACAATTATTGTCACCCAATTAAGTCTGTTAAAAATCTACAACTTGTGTTGTAATTTAYTAACCCCAAAAATAGTTTATTAAAGTCATTTTTAGGCTGAGATTATTTTCCTTTCAATTTAAATCAGCCGTTCAGTGTTTTTACTTAAAATGGAGCCGTGCGTAAAGTTTGCGTAATTCTCCTATTCGCACACACGGCTAAATGGTTTATTTATTTTAAAACTTATTTTCTGTATAATTCGTGATTAGTTACACAGAGCAGAGTGAGTACTCACCCTGACTCTGGCCTCTGTGAGGTTGGTCCACACGGCTATCTCCTCCCTCGTGCTCATGTCCGGATAGCGGTTCCTCTGGAAGGTGGCCTCCAGCTCCTGCAGCTGCTGGCTGGTGAAGTGAGTCCTCTGCCGCCGCTGCCTCTTCTTCTTGGACGGGTCGTCCGAGGAGTCGTCGTTTTTATTTTGGATCTTCTCCTTTTCTGGGAACAATGAAACGAAAGATTTCGAACATGATTTGCCAGMTTGCGCACGACAAAATTGATGTTTATAAAAAAAACGCATAGAGACTTTTTATTAAAATATATCTAATTAAAAATTCTGTTAGGAATATTTAAATAAAATGTTTGTATCACTATTTTAGATGCGCAAGATGAGCCTTTTATTTTAAGAACACAGGTTTTTAGAACAAAACCAGTCAGACAAATAAGCAGCTAATGAAGCTGTCCGCTACAATTTGCATAAAGCTCCCCTCCRGTTGACTGATGAGCGCGATATGAAGATGACATCTGCGGTGCCCTGCAGTGGACATCTGTTACCCGAGTGTTCCTTCTTACCCACGGACTCCGGGCTGGATGTGTCCGACACTGTGTGCACCTCTAGCCGGTGTTTAGAGTCCACCGCGCGCTGCAGCGGCTGCAAACTGGAAGCCATCGCCAGAGCCGTGTGGTGTGCGGAGGCAAGTTTATTCCCTGTGAGGTGGTGGTCTATGTTTAATGGATCCCTCATAGAGCTCATGGGTAAAAAAAAAATAAAAATAAAAATCACACGAGCTTTTAGAGCAGGAAGGCAAAGCGGAAAGTCCGACTCCGGAATGTGTTCTGCTCTCCAAAAAGCGCGCGGCGGCACCGTTCCTCCTGTGGTTGAGATGAAGCCCCCTTTCTCTTTAAACTGGAGAACGCTTTAAAATAGGCCATTGAGTTCTGTCAGAGCATCAGTGGAAAACTGCGGCTACCTTGGCTGACTGTCAGAGTGACAAGGACAGGTAGGTGATATTAGATCCAGAGGCTTACACACTCTCCGCCGCTCACTGCTCATTTCAGCTGTTGCCTGCGCGCTGCCCTATCCAACTGCGCCTTCTCTCCACAGCTCCACGTCACCGTTTTGCGCCCGCCCATATCCTCTCTGACAGGCACATCCATGTGGATATGACGGGCTGTCCAACCAACCCGAGCTTGCAGAAACGAGATATGCCTGCCAGTGTATTTATGCCGCGGCTGGCGCTTATTTTTTTCCTCTCTCTCTCTCTCTCTTCCAAATAAAAGCATGTAAAGAGAGATGGGGACGCGCGGCGCACCCGCGCAGCAGCCCAAGACCAAATAAAAATGAAAATAACGCAGTTTGGCCTCGTTTTATGAAACGGGTCCAGTGGCCCAGGGAAAGAGATGTAGAGCCTCTGATAACCAAGTTGAGCTGCGCGCTCCGCTGGCTCTGCGGCTGCAGTTTACTCTGAGACWCTGAGTGGATAAAGCCAGCCACAGAGCGGGATTGTTCTGGAGGCACAAAGAAAATATGCCCACTGAATATCAAACATAAACACCTACTGCACCGCAAAGACCCAGTGAAAGGACAAACAAATGTTAAACTTCAAATGGAAAAGGGGGGATGCGCCGGCGCCACGCGCGCTCCACAACTGTTCGAGCGCACTTGTCACCTGACAGACGCGCACACGTGCCGCCTGTGGCGCTCGCAGGCGTGATGCATGGTGGTGCATTATATATAAAAAAGATTCTAAGTTACAAAAGTAAAAACAAATCACAATAACATCAACATAAAACACAAATTGATCCAAAAAAATAAAAAAATAAAAAAAAAACGCGAAGTTTCCGCACAGAACTGTCGAATGAGGATCCTCTTGACCTTCTCTGTTTTGGGGTTCACATATTCATGAAATCAACCTGAGCAGCGCCACACAAGCCTTCAGTCAACCACCACAGGCTCTGTTTGTTGATTACTTTATCTGGGCGCTTAACAGGATTTCTCCTCACTTTGCTGTTGGATCACCAAGTCGCTTTCAGGCGAGCACTCCTGTGGTGTTTTCTTGTTAATCTGATAAGACTCATTTGCCTGTGAATATTTGAATGAGGACGTTTTATAACTAAATCTCAACAGGCTTTGACGCATTAAAGAAAATTTAGGATATCAATTTAAAGGGGGGGGCGGGGGCAAGCTACTTTCATAATCAGAGTGAGAAAACTGAGAAATAATAAGCAGGGTAACTGGTTACTGGAGTGATGGAGGTAATCATCATCATCATCATCATCATCATCATCATCATCATCATCATCATCATCATCATCATCATCATCATCATCATCATCAAGAGAAGCACCCTCCCTGTGCCCACGTGGACACGCGGACGCCCTTTCAGCTCAGCGCGTTCGGATTTGGCACAGTTGAGAAGTTGCCAAACTAATCCCGCGTGAAAGCCCCTCATATATAAATACCACCAGTGCGCGCGCGCGCGCGCACACACACACACACATATCAATCACCACTCACGCGGGCAATTACACGATGAATCAATAGGAGTAGATTTATTTAGATGCTTTTCTTATTGCGGCTGTCAGATCTCCAAGCGCTCACTTAATGGGAGCAACAAATTACGCAAACTATAAGAATAATAATATCTAAAGCAAATTTTTTATTCTATACTGGTAAACATAAAGCAGTCTGTTGCTCGTTTTTTTCCCCCCATCTCTTCCAGGCATATTGTAATACTAAACTTGAAGTGGATTATCGGTTTCCTCTTCATTTCTACCTTCTGAATGCTTTATCTCTCTTCTGCGGATTACTGCGCGCAATAGGCCTCCGCCATAGAGGGCCATTAATTAGCAATTCAGTCAATACAGCGGGGGGACGACAAGGCTTTTTACTTAGGATTAAGGGAAGACATCAGATTCCTCCATTATTCCTCCTCACGGATGAGCTTTCATTATACATTTAGTTTTCCCAGGAGTCAGTCCGACAAGCGCTGCACATTTTACCCAGCAGCGCAGACGGTGCTCGAGTCTTTGTGTTTGCAGGTGATTTGTTTTATTTATTTATTTAGTCATTATGTGCGTGATTCTTACCCGATGACCAATCAGTAAGAACTAAGTGGGACAAAATTAGTTATTGGTTGCTCGTTCGTCACCTGAAAACACCCAGTTTTCTCGCCTTATTAAATATTAATAAATTAATTGCAGGATTTTTTTTAAAGGCTTAACTGCAAAACTGATTTTAATCGTCGTTTTTCTGAATGGATCAGAACAGATCCAATAAACAAAATATAATTTATTGAAAATATGTTTTAGATGGACAACAAGGTTAAAAAATGTAAAAAAATAAATGGTATGTATTTTCAGTTTATCAGGTGTGAAATGCGGCCATCCTTTTTTATTTTCTTTTTCAAACACTGACAGGCGTCGAGCGCCTCCGCCTGCAGGAGCGCTCTCCGCCACCAGGTGGCGCTCTAAGACAGAGATCAGACTGCGTGTCCACAGTGCGTTCAGGTCAGCAGAGAGGCCAGAGTGGCGCGTTTGATGGAACAGGTGAGAAAGATTCAAACACAGCTTTTTTTTTTCTTTTTATCGCCAAACGGAAACATCAGTCTGAGACTGAGTCCAGCTGAAATAATCAAATTTGAGTTATTAGAACAGTTAAGATTTTTATTAAACTGATATTCAGTTTTTAATTTATATAGATTAAATTGCGTTTAATAAAAAAAGCGAAGATGCTGTGTTAGGAAACCACACAAATAAACAG